TCCAAGTAGCTGGAATTACAGGCATGCACCACCACACCCAGCTGATTTTTTTTTATTTATTGTAGAGATGAGGTCTTGCCAAGTTGCCTAGGCTGGTCTTGAACCCATGGGCTCAGGAAGTTCTCTCACCTCAGCCTCCCAAAGTGCTGGGATTATAGATGTGAGCCACTGCGCCCGGCTGCAAATTGGTATTTGAGAACCACAGTCTCCCTTTCCCCCGGAACTGTTGCTGGTTCTCTGTGACAGAACTTTCTGGCAGTCTTTCCTGAGGAAACTGTACCTTCTCCCTCCTAGCCTCCCTCCTTTTCCCATGTGTCCATTCTTCCATTCAGTGATTCAGGGCCTGATACTTGTCAGGCACAAGGAATATGTGTCGTGAATGTGGTGAATAACACTAGATACAGCTCTATTTTAGACAAATAATTATGCAAATAATTAACTGTTTACATTTGCTAAAGTTTTCCAGTACATAGTTGGTCGTTTATTGTTTTATTTTTCTACTTCAGCAATATTTGGGAGCATAAACTGAACATCATCCCTGATCTATTGACATGGGGTTGCATGCACTCATTCCAGACTAGTATCTACAAATTAGCATATAAGTAAATAAACTGGTATCTAAATGAACTACTAATACATTGATGTTTTAGATCAATAGCTTGATTGAAGTTGGAACCTGTTTTATTTTATTTATTTTTATTTTTTTGAGATGGAGTCTCACTGTTACCCAGACTAGAGTGCAGTCTCATGCTCATGGCCACTGCAGGCTCAACTTGCTGTGCTCAGGCGCTCCTTCCACCTCAACCTTCCAGGTAGCTGGAACCATAAGTGTGTGCCACTATGGCTGGCTAATTTTTTGCTTTATTGTAGAGAAGAGGTCTCACCAATTTATCCAGTCTGATCTTGAACCCCTGGGCTCAGGCAGTCCTTTTGCCTCTGCCTCCCAAAGTGCTGAAAATACAGGCATGCGCCACTGTGCCAGCCCAAAGCGGTTTTAATTTGTATACAAAAAAATATGACTTGAGACTTGAGGTGTAGTGACATCTTTATAGTCTGTCTGCTAGTTCCATTATCTGAAGTTCTTGGGGGTTGAACACTGCTGGTTGCTGTGTCTGCTGACCCTCACTTCTGATGGATTACCTCTTTGGTGTCTGGTTATTTTGGACTGTGTGCACTCATTGCCAGCAGACCTTACCAGTGGGACTTTGTACAGCTTAAGGGCGAATCTCCCCAAAGTTTTGTACATTTACTTTCTCCTGGGGTGATCACAAGTCTGGGAACACTTTTAATGTTAATTTATCTTCATGGAGTTTCTCGAACCACTCAGGGAAGAGAAATTGAACCCCAGATCAGTGTGAGGGCAGCTCCTGGTATACAAATTCTCAGGGGGAGATTTCTTTTTTTAAACTCTCTATCCAGAGCCTATAGCAAAAACAAAACAAAACCAAAAAAAACACAAGTGTCTATGCTTTCACTCTGTGGTGGATGGGCATTGTCCTAGACCCCTTTCCTACAAGTATAACCTTTTGTGGGTCCTGGATTTGTGGTGTTCCCACCTCAGCTTCAGATGGCCTGAGACTTCACTTTTCATCCCTACATGAGCTCTTAAACCCTCAGACCCTCAAACTGCTTATTGCTGGTCTTGAATTAAATAGGCAGAGAAATTAAGAGTGGGTATTGGAAACATGCAGCTGTTTGCTATTCCCAGGATAGCTAAGCATGGAGTCAGTGGGCTTGTATTGTCATTTTTCCTTTTCATTCTGGGCATGTCCTCGATTACAGGAGCAGTAGCTCCCACTCCAGGATGACCACGGGTCACTCACAGGCTGACTACGCTGGCTCATATCTCCCTTCTCAGTTCTGGGCCCTCGGGACTCTCCTTACTTTCTTGTAAACCTAGTGTGTATGTAACAGGATGTGTGTGGTCTGGGCACAGTGGCTCACACCTGTAATCCCAGCACTTTGGGAGACCAAGGCAGGAGGATCACTTGAGCCCAGGAGTTTAAGACCGGCTTGGGTAACATAGCCAGACCCCGTCTTTACAAAAAATAAAAAAATTAATTTGGCATAGTGGCATGCGCCTATATTCCCAGCTACTCAAGAGGATGAGGTAAAAGGATCACCTGAGTCCAGAAGACTGAGGCTGCCGTGAGCCGTGAGCGTGCCACTGCACTCCAGCCGGGGTGACAGAGTGAGACCCTAACTCAAAAAAATAAAAAATAAAAAGAATGTGTGTGATATGTTACCTAGCATTCCTGGGTGTTGTTTCAAAGGGTGCTTCAAGTGCTGTTGTATGCCCTTGCCAGAAACAGAAATGCTGTTCTGTGGGTTTTTAAAATCATTTTAACACACAACTACTCTTCCCCAAAGGAGCTTGAGCAGTCAGCTAAGGAGCAAGACAAAGAGTCAGAGAAGCAGCTTCTACTCCAGGAAGTGGAGAATCACAAAAAGCAGATGCTCAGGTACTGGCCTGGCCTCCTGGGTCCACCTGCTGCCTGTGAGGCTTGGACATGTGTTTGCCCAACAAACCTGCTTTCATGGGGACTTAATCATGTCATTTACACACAGCGGAATGTTCTTTCTAGATCAGCAGTTCTCACATGGGGCCAAGACAAGCAGGGCCCCTGTGGGCAGCTTCCCTGTGGGAGCTGTGTGTCATTTACAAAAGCGTACTAAATACTACACTGTTTTAAAAACAAAACAAAAAATATGATTGCTTTGTAATACAGGGTCATTTTTATCTAAGGATACTTGGTACCAGAAAAGATCCACTGAAAGGAAACCTGGACTAACTTTAGAAAGTTTTGAGTGGAACTTTATCTAAAAAGGAAACAAAAAAAGTGTAAATAAACTTATGGTAAGCAAAATTGAGGCTAAATTGCAGCTGTGGCCTAATCCTTGATTCTATAATTGTAGCTATGTGCTGTTTCTTGATATTGAATCAGAAAAGGTACAACTTTTTCAACAAAATTCTCCAAACATGAAATGGTACATTGGCCAGGTGCAGTGACTTACACCTGTAATCCTAGGCCTTTGGGAGACTGAAGTGGGAGGATCGCTTGAGGTCAGGAGTTTGAGACCAGCCTGGGCAACACAGTGAGACCCCCATCTCTACAAAAAAATAAATAAAAAATTAGCCAGGCTTGGTGGCGCACCTCTAATCTCAGCTATTTGGGAGGCTGAGGTGGGAGGATTGTGTTAGACCCCAGGAGTTTGAGGTCACTGAATTATGATCTCATCGCTGCACTCCAGCCTGAGCAACAATGTGAGACCCTGTCCCCATGGGTCTTCTCTTTTTCCCTGTTCACTGATCCACCTCTGCCAGCTGTATTTGTCTGTGGCTCTGCCTCCGATTGGAGAGATCCCCAGCATCATCCTCCCTGAGCGAGCCTCAGGAGGACACTGACGGGCAAGGATGCAGGTGCAGTGTGGGCAGCAGCTGTAGGGAGGGCCGTGTGTGTGGCAGGCCATGGCTAGTGCTTGGCTCCTTGGCAGTTACTTTGTGCTATGACAGCTTTTGCTTTCCAGAGCCTCCAAGCTTACTCAGATTGTAAACACTGGGTACAGAGGAGCCCTTGTGTAAAGTAAGTCCACACTCAGCCTAGCGTGGGCTTAAAGCTGGGCTCACCACCCATCACGTGGGGTCACAGGCCAGAGGAGGCAGGGCATCAGATGAGCACTTTAGTAGTTGTGAGCTGATACAGTTGTTGTGGTCACCAGGTCCGTGCGCTTGCCCCACTCTGCAGTTCCTGTTTGCTTGTCTTTCTCCTCAGCAAGTGTGAGCTCCTTGAGGACAGGCACTGTCGCTCATTCACCCTTGGGCCTCAGATCCCAGGGCCCACAGAACTACCTTGCAAACAGATGGAATAAAATTGATTCTTTTTATTTTTTAAATTTTTAATTGTTTTCTTTTACTGAGTCAGAGTCTCACTCTGTCGCCCAGGCTGGAGTGCAGTGGCACTCTCACAGCCACCACAGCCTTGACCTGCTGGGTTCAGGTGATCTTTCTGCCTCAGCCTTCCAAGTAGTTGGAACCACAGACGCATGCTACCACGCCCAGCTAATTTTTTGATTTATTGTAGAGACAAGGTCTCACCAAATTTCCCAGACTGGCCTCAAACCCCTGGACTCAGGCAATCCTCTCACCTCAGCCTTCCAAAGTGCTGGGATTATAAGCGTGAGCCACTGCGCCTGGCCAAAATGGATTCTTTTGTTTTGTTTTTTTGAGTTGGAGTCTCACTCTGTCGCCCAGACTGGAGTACAGTGGCCGCTCCCGGCCACCGCAGCCTCGACCTGCTGGGCTCCGGCGAGTCTTCCGCCTCAGCCTTCCAAGTAGCCAGAATTATAGGCATGCGCTACCACGCCCGGCTGATTTTTTGATTTATTGTAGAGATGAGGTCTCGCTGCCCAGGCGGGTCTTGAACCCGCCGGCTCAGGCAATCCACTCACCTCAGCCTCCCAAAGGCGCGGGATTATAGGCTGAGCCACCGAGCCCGGCTTGTATTCTTTTTAAATGGTGGGTGTGAAGTGGCAGAGGCCCATCAGGACTTGAGTGAGAACAGTTGCTGGGGTGCCCAGAGGAGGCAGTGGTGGGAGGCCAGATGGACTCTGAGGGCTATGCCAGGGTGGCCTTCCCCTGGGTGGCCTTCCCAGGGCACCTTTGCCAGAAGGAGCAGCTGTGATTTGACTTAACGGCCTACAGTCTACAGAAACTCACATGTGACCTTCTAATTCCAGCAATCAGACCTCATGGAGGAAAGCCAATCTCACGTGCAAAATCGCCATCGACAATCTAGAGAAGGCAGAGCTGCTCCAGGGAGGAGAGCACTTAAGGCAAAGGTACCTGTACTTGGTCTTCCTGGGCTCTGATGATGGAAAAGGAACATTTGAGCCAGGCTCGGTGGCTCAGCCTGTAATCCCGCGCCTTTGGGAGGCTGAGGTGAGTGGATTGCCTGAGCTGGCGGGTTCGAGACCCGCCTGGGCAGCGAGACCTCATCTCTACAATAAACCAAAAAATCAGCCGGGCGTGGTAGCGAACGTCTGTAATTCGGCTACTTGGAAGGCTGAGGCGGAAGGATCACTGGAGCCCAGCAGGTCGAGGCTGCGGTGGCCGGGATCTG